TCATTTTGAAGACATGTGGTACCACCCTCTTACTGAAAGCACTGGTTCCCCTGTTGAAGCTTGCTAGGGATTACAGTGGGTTTGATTCGATTCAAGTAAGTAATCAAAGGTGGTATTTAAGCCTTATTTGGGGAGTGTAACTATTGGCATGCTCATCCTGTGATGGGATTGGTAAATGTGTATAACTCACAACTTAAGTTATCATACATAAGAATATATGCCAAGGGGGACAACTCTCTCGGGCCCTGCTCCTGTCCCTCTATTGCACAGGACCTTTCTTTCCCTCAATAAATATATTCTGCTCATTTTTTTTTAAAGAATATATGGCAAGATCTTTTTGACAAACTAAAGAGAGGCACAATATTTAGCCTTTGGTCAAGAACCACAGATGGAGGAAGCAGAGATGAGTTAAAATAAAATTTAAGTGGAAAAAAAAGACCAACACTCCGGAAATTCTTGAAATGATTACTATATAAATATAGGGAAATGGGGATGGGCATGAAGCTCAGTGGTAGAGTTCTTTGGATTCTAGAGAACCCTGGGTTTGATCCCTAGTGCCATTCCTATTCCCTAAAAGAATGATTTCACAAGTAAAATAAGGACCAAACGATACTAAGTTAAATTCTGTATTTCAGGACTGTAGAATTTCTAGTTAGGGTATAATTTTCTGATAACTAGTTATTTTCTTTTTTGTCTTTGTCTCTTTTTTAAAGTTTTGTTTTATTTTTGTCTTGAGAGAATCTCATTAGGCTGTCCTTGAACTCACTATTTAGCCCAGGTTGGCACTAAATTCATAGTGATCCTCTTGCCTCCTGAGTGCTGCGATTACAGACACGTGCTTATGTGCTTCCGTGCCTGGCTAGTTATTTTTTGAAATAGGATTGCACTAAGTTGCCTAGGCTAGAATCAATTTTTCAATCTTTGAGTCTTCCCAGCTCTTTTCTTTAACCTCTGATTGAATGTAGTATTTTACCTCATAAGATTATCATTAGGAGCTAACAGTTTTTGGTTTCCCCCTAATGCTGGAAATTGAAACCCAGAGCCTTCTTAGCTCCTGCTAGGCAAATGTTCTACCTCTAAGCTATTAGCATTTTTGTTGTTACCTAGTGATCTTTATAGGAAATCTAGAGCAATCTGTGCTTAAAATGGGCCACTGGCTCTTAAAATTTAATATAGGAGTGTTTTTCACAAAATCTTTGCTTACCTATTAAAAGGCTCAGATTAAAAACTGCTGTCAAAAGAAGTGAACTTTGTATGTATGATTTTTGTTATGACTTACTGTCAATAGATTGAACATTTATTTTTTGTTCTAGAATTTTAAAATTATAGTATTAAATGTGCATAAATATCTAAGATTGTACTGTACTAGTATCATTCAGCTAGCTAATTTGTATACTTTAGAAGTGGAAAATGTGGGGCCAGGGAGATAGCTCAGTAGAATAAGCACTTGTCTGGCAAGCCCAAGGGCCTGAGTTCAATCCCTGGTTCCGCCAAAAAAAAGAAGTGGAAAATGTTTCTAGACTTGATAGAAAGTGGTTGATAAATTTAGACGAAGTTCTTAAAATTATCCCATATCTTTTTGTTTTAAAGAGCTTCTTTTATTCTCGTAAGAATTTCATGAAGCCTTCTCACCAAGGGTACCCACACCGGAATTTCCAGGAAGAAATAGA